TGATGTTTATTTTGTGTTGTAAAAGTTAAATTATAATATAATACTTACCCCCTGGTTATTATAAAGAAATAAAAAAAACAAATTATTTAATTGGATGATGTTTGTTATTTTGTGTTGTAAAAGTTAAATTATAATATAATCCTTACACCCTGGTTATTATAAAGAAATAAAAAACAAATTATTTAATTGGATGATGTTTATTTTGTGTTGTTAAAGTTAAATTATAATATAATACTTACAATCTATGAAGTAAAAAACAAATTAATTAATTAGATGATGTTTATTTTGTGTTGTAAAAGTTAAATTATAATATAATACTTACCCACTGGTTATTATAAATACAATACTTACCAACTGGTTATTATAAAGAAATAAAAAAACAAATTATTTAGTTAGATGATGTTTATTTTGTGTTGTAATAGTTAAACTATAATATAATACTTACTCCCTATGAAATAAAAAAACAAATTATTTAATTAGATGATGTTTATTTTGTGTTGTGAAATATTTATTTACCTTTATAGAATTTAGCTAAGTATTATTTTATTATAAAGCAAAATATTAAATTATGATGTAAAAATACTACATATTTTTAAAATAGTTATTTTCTGTATAAGAAATGAATACCTTCATTCATTTTTTTTTTACTAGGAGCAAGAATTTCTCCAAGACCAGTGTGTTTATTCCTATTTAAGAAATTGTATGTAGTATATATGATTTGATATGATCGACAAATAATAATTATTGATTTATTTGTAAAATCAACCTAGGGATGGGGTGGTTTGGTTAACTACCCTATAGAAAATTTATGTATGGAAGTTCCTTACATTTTGTAATATTTATTTATAAGGAATAATCCTTTAATAATGTACATAAAATTTTCCAGAAATGTTTATGCAATGTGAGGAAAAATGCATTTTTACATACATAGGAAAAAACCTATAAATTTTATAAATAATGGAATTGTACTAAAAAACATACTCAATGTACAAAGCAAACATACTCACAAAATTCATGGGTACCATTATATCTTTCTTGTTCAAATAAAAATACATAACTTAATGACCTATATATAAATGAAGGCTCTTAGTGACCAATAGTACAAAATTTGTAAATTTAGAAACAAACATGATACATACAATTCTTCATCTGGATCCAGGGTTGATGATTATGCTAAAGATATTGAATTTTTTCAATACTCCAAGCAAATCTTAGACATTTCAACTCCCCAACTTCCCACTGTTTTAGAAAGGGAGAGATATGATTAAAAAAAGGGATAATTAATTAAAAAAAATGTGTGCCATACAAATACATAATATTTACTATAATGGCACTATCATTCAATTTACAATCTATTAAACCTGGTCTGACAAAATAGTCAAGATGGGGGTTTTTCCTCCTTATATGATAATCATAATCATTGTCTGATGATAATGATGGACTGTATAAAGATCCTGATGAATGTGATGATGTATCTTGCCTAGGCAAATATAGAGCCAATGGTTTGTCATCAGGAAATTAATTTAGCGTAAACTTGCATAAATCTTACGATGCCGACATAATATTGTGTAAATCTTACAGTGCCGACGTAAGTTTTACACTTTTTTATTATTAAACTTACAATTGACATGTGTAAAATTTTTTTATATTTTCCGGATGGTTAAATATATATATATATATGTTAATTGACCATTTTTTTAATAGAACTTACTGATCATTTATTGTTAATGATGATGATGACTTCTTAACTTTGCTCTATTGAAAAAAAAATCAGATTCATTAATACATAATAATCTTAGAAGATGATTTACTTATAATTGTGATGAGGGTGATAATGTTGATAATGGTGATGGACTATAAAATAATGATGTGTGAAGCCAACCTCTAAAACAGGTTATCACCTTATGCTCACTCTCTTTCTTCTTCCTCTAATTAACAAATCTGCACAAAGTTATGGTGTGAAATTGAGAAAGAATGATAATTATCATGGTCAATTATCATGATTTCATGCAGGTAACTTTTCAGCTAATATGCCAGCAACCTTCTCTGGTCTGGTTCTATGAGGAAAAATAAGTGAAAACGTACCCCAAAAAAGAAAAAATCAAACTGATAGAATGAAAGCTAAAGACCTGAGCTTCATTTTTATTAATTTACTTTTTTCTTTCTGTTATACAAAACCTGAGTTATGCTTTATAATATAAAAATTTTATAATAAAATAAAATATAAATCCACAGAATATCATCAGTAATGTTTCAGGCTTAAGATTCACTAAAATCTTTTATAATATGTGATGCTTTTTAAGTTTGTTCTGTTCGTGTGAATTGGATATTAATATCTTTTCTTAAAAAAGAAAGGGTCACTGGTGACAAAATTTTTGATATTTAGTAAAATCGTGCAACTTCAAACCGCCAAGGGGTTTTTTTTTAATTAATAAAATTGAAAAAAACATTCTAATGTTGTTGCTTAGGTTCTAAAGATTGCAAAAATAGACGGTTTTTTCTCACCTAAGAATATGGTTAGTGAGCCTTAGCATTCTAAATTTTTGATGTCTAGATGTGGAAACCATTTACGCCTTTGTCCAAACGCCACAATTCAAACTAAAAGAAATTATTTTGGAGAACATTTTGATACTCCAAATACTAATATACAGATAAATTACAACGTAATTGAGAAATGCCATCGAAGAAGCTGATGAAACACATGAAAATTTTATTGAAGAATCAAATAAAAGTGAAAACAGTTTTGATTTTTATGATGTTTATTCCATTCAATATAATTAATAATTCAATTAATATATAAATCAAATATTTAGTATAAAAAAGATAAAAAAGTATAAGTTGAATAAATTAAATAAAGATTTAATTGCCGCAATGTTTGTATTTATTGTAATGGCCAAATAATTCATTTTATTATTGTCATATTACATTTTGATTCAAATCAATATTAATATATTAAAATTTTTTTATTGGTTGTTTGGAGTTTTTCCGCTCATTTGTGGGTTGCTTAATATATTAACTAAAATAAGTTTACGGGGGGATACCAATAAAAATTTTAATTCTAAATTTGTACTAGTTACACACCGAAATTTCAAACACTCCCAGAATATTTTTTCTATTATTCGTTTCATCTGTTTCATTCGAGTTATTTAACTTAGTATTGATTTTATTATAAACTAACAAGGAAGACTAAAACAAGGTTCGTATTTCTTAAAAGTCCCAGTTTCGCACAATATGAATTCTCCAAAAATATGAATATGTTGTATGGGTAATAAGTAGAAATGGTGTGTTGAACTTACCAAAATAAGTAATTAGCTATAATTCTTTGGTAGAATTTTATCTAATTTGGTTCAACAACGCCATTTCTACTTTATTGCCTCCCATATATGATTAAGAAACTGGTTCAAACCGGTTTAATATTAACCAGCCCGTTCGTTTTCACAAAATGAAAGATTAAACCCAAGTTATGAACAACAACAATAAAGTCAACATTGGAAGTTACAATTACCCGTCTTTCATCGTTATAATAATTAGTATGTTGGCCTGCTTCAAAAACTTGTAACTTCACCTCTCTCAAATTCTATTTCAGTCTCTTCATTTAACGCATATATGTATATATATATCATCAAAAATGTAAATTTTTTAGTAACGAGACAATATTATCGACTGTTGGTGGTGATGACTTTATTTAAATTATTTGATATTCATTTTATTCGTTTAATGTAATCCGAATACTTAAAAAATTGATTACGAGTAGTTTGAATAGAGACCCTAAAATGCAAATTGTTGTCGTCATCATTGTTATTCTGTTGTCATTGTCGTATCATTGTTGTCATTTTAACTTATAAAAAAGCAATTGGTGCACCTAAATATTATTTGTATTTATGAGAAATGTCATATATAAATTTAAAAAACTGATTTTTGTTTTTATTTTTTATAAAAGTTTTATTAAAAAAAAAAAAATGATTTCTTCTACTTCCTTGCGAATTTTTTTTGAAAAAGATTTCTTTGGGTAATAATTTAATAATTTATATTGTTCTAAATTATAGTGATAAATATACATAAACTGATATAATTTTAATTATTTAGGTATAGCACCCCGAAGGTTGTTAAAGTTAAAGAGTAAATATCTTTTTAAAATTATTTTCGATATTTAATTGATTTCTCTTTAATTTTATAATTAATCAATATTATTTTATTAGTCGAAGAGTTGGAATACTATACAGAATATTTCAGCTTTTGATCGTGATATATATTATGTACAATATAATTAATAATCAATTATATCTTAAAAAGGTAAATCATTAGCACACATAACACACACATATATAATAACTACTAATAGTCACTAATAAACTATCCGCATAATTTTGATAGGAATCACCTATAGAAGGAGCAATAAGAATTTCTTTAAAAGCTCCCGATAAATTTTCCGAAGTACCACCAACATATTGTAATAATAATAATAGTGTACCATGTATTTATTGGGGATCTAACGAAATTCACTATCCAAGTGATGGTGCTGGTTTTGCATTTTTCACTACACGTGTAAACATTAATAGACATTTTCCGCCAGCAAATTGCAGCTTTCTGAAAAATTATGACAAAAGTTGTATTGTTGATCCCAGACAAAAACCAGATAATGTTCTGGTTCAATCTATGTTGGATAAATCTTATATTGCCGACATTGAGAAATATACGGTATGCTGGTAATGATATTTTCTCCCTTCTTTCTTTGTTTCTCTCTATCTCTTCTTCTTACCTTTTATTTATTAATTAAAAAAGATTATGGTCGAACATTCAATAAGAGGTAAAATAACAACAAAAACATATCGTAATGGACTTTTGAATGGTCAATTACTTTCTTCAGATGGTGAAACAGTAATAAAATCATGGACAAACGAAACCAGAGTGGGTTATAATTGATTATTAATAATAATATTATTCATGATTCATTATTTTAATCATGGTTTTTCTTTTATATAGACATTAAATGATCCAAGAGCAGATGGTGATATTATGACAGTTGGCGAATTGCTTCAAGCTGCTGGGGCAGATTTAGAAGGAATATCAGGAGCGCCTGGAGCTGATCCTGATGAAACTTTTAGAAGTGCGGGGATTGTTATAGTGATAATTATTGATTACAAGAATAATGTTTTAAATGTAAGTGGCCGATTAATTAGATGGATGGATGGATATGGAGTTGATTTTAATCACGATTTAATTTAATCAAATTGTAGCCGGATGAAATTAATTATCAATATTTACCACAAGTGATTGGAGGTAGTAGGTATAAAACTGTAGAATCCATTTACAATGTGGATGATGGATCTTACATTATAAAAAATAGACACGGGTAAATTTATTATTATGATTTATTTATTTATATCATTTGCTATTTTTCTATTAGTAATATTTATATTAATACTTAATATATTATATAGCATCAGAATCACCTTTAAACAATATGGCAAGATAGGTGAATTTGATTTTATTTCATTATTAATAAATTTGGTTGCTGCAATTACATTATTTGTAAGTATTTAAAAGCAAATTTTTTATTAAATTTTATTAAATTTAATTAATTAATTATTATTTATTTTATCAAAAGAGCGTATCGACATTCTTGGTCGAATTCCTTATGTTGTATTTATTACCTGAGAAAAATCAGTATCAGGAGGCAATATTTGAAAGGACTGAAATTCAAAACAGTCCAGAAAAAATTTCATTATTATCAGTATTACCATTACTTAGATTATTTTCGTTTATTCCATTTATCTCGAGTAACAAAATACAAGACCAAGACCAAGTTCAAGTTCAAGATCAAGCTCGAGATAAAGTTCAAGATCTAGTTCAGGCTCAAATTCAAGATTAAAGCTCCATGCGAATCAGCTCACAATCCAAACGACTTGATAAGCTCGCAGGCTGACTTGCAAGTCGAATGAGTTATCTGGATTGCAAACTATATCACGAGGAGCTTTATTTTCATGATAATATTGAAATATTTCGTTATAATAGATATAGAAGGCGGATAATTAGAATAATTTGTAATGATATTAAATAAAAAAGCATTCACTCAATTTCAGAAAATAATTAATCAAAGTATTAAAAAATTAAACTATTAGCATTACATGTATGCGGTAGGTTTTATGT